CTACGCCAAGCCCTCTCCCTTACTGGACATCCTCTTCTCAAAGACCTTCTTTTGTATCTCCAAAACAGGCAGCTGATGCCACCGCCGGCGTTACCAGTGACCGGGATGAAGCCGGAGCCTGACGACCGAAACGGGTCCTTGGGGGTCGGCAACGGTAAGCGCGTGGGGCCGAGAAGCTTGCCTGAGTTTTGGGTTTCGGCCTTCTTTTGCGACGATGCCTCTCGGGCGGCCTGCATCCCCCCTCCAGGCCTTAAGCCTCGCGTTTCCTTCAGCTTCTCTCTTCTCAGTTAACCCCCTTTCGTTTTATTAAACCCCCCCCCCCCAAAGCCAGAGTGGACCTGTCCTTTTGGGGGGGGTTGTGTTTCTATCCTCTTTAAAAGATCAGCACCCCCCCCAATGCACCCATCCACACAAGGAGGAAAGGATTTCTCAGGATATCTGTCTCCTCGGCGGAACGACCACCTCTGCAAAAACATCCCCGAACCGAGTTTGAATCAACCCCATTCTCTCTCCCCATCCTCTCTCGTCTTTGGCTCAGGGTTGAAAGGGGTGTGTGTGTGTGTGTCCCTTGGTGTTCTCTGAGCCCGGCTTGCTTTCTTGCAGAGAAATCCTCAGAGCTAGAAGAAAGTGGGGTTTCTGGAGTGGAAGCAAAGGAAGAGAAGGAGAAGGAAGGGAGGAGGAGGAGGAGGAGGAGGACTGTAATTATTGCCTTTGTTTTCAGAGCACAACATGTGCACAGTGAGATTGGCCGAGCCTCCCTTCGTGCGCGCGCCCCACCCCCCACAACACAACTCACAGTGAAGGACAGAAGTCCCTAACCCAAGTCCCAATCTGTGGGGTCCTCGGTGCTTTCTGAGCTGGCTTGTTTCCCTGCAGATGTTTCATGAAACAGCTAGGTCGCACCATCAGGGCTAGAAGGGAGTGGGGATTGTGGAGTGGAGGAAGAGGAGGAATGGGGAGGAAGAGGAGGAGGAGGAGGAAGACGAGGGCTGTGTGGCCCTTGGTGCTCTCAGACATTTCATGACCCAACTAGGTCACATCATCAGTGCTAGAAGGGAGCGGGGTTAATGGAGAGGAGGAGGAAGAGGAGGAGGAGGAAGAAGAGGAGGACTGTGGGGCCCTTGGTGCTCTCTGACGTTTCATGACCCAACTAGGTAACATCATCAGTGCTAGAAGGGAGCGGGGTAACTAGGTAACATCCGTTCTAGTGGTGCAAGGAGACCACCCAGCTCAGAGAGCACCAAGGACCCCTCATTTCAACCCCAAGCTACAAATATTCTCCATTATTGATGTTCTCTCGTCTCCCCCATCTTTTCACCCCATCCGGCCGCCTCTTGATCCGATCCACAAGATGCTGTTCACTTTTTCTCCGGAAGCTCTGCAGAATCCTTCGCCAGGCAGAAACAGGAGCCCCCTCCCCTCTCCCCTCTCCCCCCCCTCCCAGTGCCTGGAAGGCGGCCACCTGCATACAGGTAGCCCTCAACGAGACAACAGTTCGTTTAGCGGCCGTTTAGTGACATTCACTTAAGTGCCTCACTTAGCAACAGAAAGGTTGGGCTCCATTGCGGTCGTTAAGTCGAGGATTCCCTGTATTCAGCTTGTCTGAGGAAAGTTGAAATACAAAACAACCAAAATTTTAAATATTTAAATTGTTCAATGTTTTTTTTAAAAAAAGCCAAACCCCACATCAAACGACATTAAAAAATAAAAATATCTTAGGGGGAAGAAAGATGAACACATAAGCATATGACATCCTCCCTAATTGAATGCTGATTAATATAATACAACTATATTAGAAGAGAGGAGAAGTAGAGAAAGAATAGAATAAGAATAGAATAGATAGTTGAACAGAATAGAATAGGGAATAGAACAGAGAATAGGAGAGGAGAGAAGAGAAGAGAAAAAAAAAGTATAGAAGAGAAGAAGGTATAGAAGCGAAGAGAAAGTAGAGAAGGTAGAAAAGAGAATAGAGAAGAAGAGAAAGAAAGTAGAGAAGAGAAGGTATAAAATAGAATAGAATAAAGAGAAAAGAAGAGAAAGTATAGAAGAGAAGAAGGTATAGAATAGAAGAGAAAGAAGAGAAGAGAAAAGAGAAGAGAAAGTAGAGAAGAGAAGAGAAGGAATAGGAATGGAATGGAATTGAATTGAGTTTCTTTTTTGGCCAAGTGTGATTGGACACACAAGGAATTTGTCTTCGGTGCATAAGCTCTCAGTATATAAAAGCTATAAATGATAAATCATGATCATAACTCATCATAAAAATACATGCATCATAAATCATAAGATACAACACTTGGTGATCGTCACAGGATATTAAATAAGCAATCAACATAAAATCGTACTAGGAAACTAAATAAGCCCAATAGATTACAATTTTAATTACAATAATAATTAAAATATTATTAATTAATTATTAAATAAAATAATTAAAAATAATAGATTACAATTGTAATCGTAAAGATTACAAGCCACAAAGTTTAGAGTCATAAGAAGATACCGTAAGATAGATAATAGGAAAGGTGAGAAGAATAATAGCAATACAGCCTTACTAAATAGTTTTGGGAATTAGTAATACTAAATGTATTACTAAACGCAATTTTAATAATACTCAATGTTGTGGGAATTAGTGGTTTAGCGTTAATTTCCCACCCCTTTAAAAAAAACAGGCCCCCAATTTTTATTTTTTTAGAAAAACTACTCCACTCCTAAACCTGTTTGCAAATTGTTTAGTTTGTCACCTCTCTTTCTTGGAAAAAAAAAAGAAAAGAAAACCAAGTGGGTCAAAAGGACACTAGCCGGTTTCTTCCTCTTTTGACATATATTCTTTTGAAACGGAGAGCTCACCACCGCACCGGCCTTGCTAACTTTACCTTTTTTTTTTCTTCTTTTTTGTGTCTTTCTTTCTCTCTCTCTCTCTCTCTGTGTTCTCTTACATGACGCTGGCGGATCAAAACACACCGTTGGCGGGACGCCGTGTTGCTCGACCAACACCGATCTGGGGGTGTGTGACCGTTTGATGCGGGGGCCCTTCAAAATGGTGTCGGACTAACGTGTTTTTTTTTTTTTTTGAAATTAACCCATTTGGGGGAAATTGATCTTTCTCTTCCCCTTTTTTTTCTACCTTTTTTGTTTTGGGGACGGGGTGATGTGGGGCTGGTGGGAGAGGGCTGGTTTTCTTTTCTTTTCCCCCTTTTTTTTCTCCTTTTTCCCCCCTCCCCCTCTCTTTCATTCTTTAGATCATCCAGCCAAGAAGATGAAAAGCACCGAAAAGGAACTCGGTCTGGTGGCCTACACCGGCGACTCGTCGGACGAAGAGGAAGACCATGGGGGTCTTAAAAATGCAAGTAGCTACTCCCAAACCTGGAGGTTAGGGTACCAGTACCCGTCGTCGCAGCAACGGGCGAAGCAACAGATGCCCTTCTGGATGGCCCCTTAGGGTCCCCTCCCCTCCGCCCCACTCTTCGCCCTCCGTCTCGAGCAATAAAACCGCATGTATTTCCGATCAAAAGACAATGCCCGTGCAAACCCGGAAGCTCGTCTGCCACTCCCTGCTCTCTGCACATGCTTTTGAGATGCAGTTACGCCTCTTTTTTTTTTCTTCTTCTTTTTTCTTCTTCTTTTTTTTTTCCCGTGTGGCTGGGCTGTTTTCCCCGGCATCCCTCCCCGAACGTCCGCCGTTTGGAGCGATTCGTGGGGGGAAAAAAAAGAGGGGGGGCGGCAGGAAAGAAAAACCGCCGGCTACTTTTTGGGCGACACGACGGCCGTCGGTTTGGTGCGACGACTCGCAAAAGCAGCATCCTCGCCTCGGCCCCCGGGCTCTGGAATCTTCTCTGCAGCATCTTTTCGGGGAAGGAAAGGCCTTTGGAAGAGGCGCCAGCCAGCCAGCTTGAAAACCCCCCCCCCCAACGCCACTCCGGCTGCCGTTCCGTGTTTGTTTCCTCGCCCACCTTCTGGAATGGAGAACGGAGGAAAAAAACAAACCTTGTTTGACTGGATCATTTTTTTTTTGACTCTTCGAATCTTTTCCCAAGAAGGGATTTCTGTTCCTTTTTTCCCCAGCGTTTTTTTTTGGTACTTTTATTATTTCTTTTATTTGAGCGTTAGAAAAAAAATGCAGCTTTGGTAGCAGTGCAGGCAACCGTTTTTTGCATCCTGCTGGAGTTCTTTCGCCTGGCTGATTAAAAACACAAAAAAAAGGGCAAAGGAACGGCACACAACGGGGAGGGTGGGGGGGGAATTCAGACAATTCAGCTCAAGAATTCAGCCCTGTGGCATTTTTTTTGTGTCTTTTTTTTTTTTAAAAAAATCCCAGCTTCCTCCAACCGGCATCGAGTTCATTTTGGCATGGTTAACACCCTCCAAATTGCAAGCGGCGACCACGTTTCGTTTTTGTGGTTGTTTTTCCCTTTTCTTTTTTTTTAAATACTTCTCCTGGAATTGATAGAAGGCAGTCTTGGCCTTTGGTTTCTATCGTGGTTCGGAACTAACCAGGACTGTTACCTGGTAAAAACAGGGGGGGTGTTAATTTTTGTATTATTGCACGATGAAATGCGCAGCCTTGGAAATGGAGAACCGCAGACTCTCGGCTTTCCTCTCTCTCTGTGTGTGTTCAGACTGCAAAAGAATATTTAAAATAATTGGAACAAGCGTCGGATTATCTCTTTTTCTGGCTGCTTCGCCCCAAAGCAACCCAACCCACCGACCCCTACCCCAAACCTCACTCTGTTCTCTGATTTTTTTTTTCTACATGTTGTAAATAAATTGAACCATAATTTCACGATAAATGTACAAATGTACTTCTTGTCTGTTTTTTTTTCTTTTCTTTCTTTTTAAGGCAGTTAGTTCTAGCAAGCTCAAGCATTGAATCGCAGTTTGGTTTTGGAAAATTTAGTTTTGTTTGGTTTGTTGGGGGCAGCGGGGGAGAAGGTTGGTTGAAGAACCCTGGGAGGAAGTTTTTCCTAGTTTTTTGCATTTCATTTCCAACAACAGGTTGAGCTGTATTTGTTTGCCTCGACAACTTTTAAGATGTGTGGACTCCATCTCCCAGAATTCCCCAGTCAGCATCTGTGGACTTCAACTCCCAGAATTCCTTGGCCTCTGTCGACTTCAACTGCCAGAATTCCCGAGCTTATATAGATTTTAGCTCCTAGTATTCCCTAGCCGGCTTGTGGAGACTCCCAACTCCCAGAATTCCCCAGTCATCTTCTAGCTCCCAGAATTCTGTAGGCAGCTTATGCAGACCTCCAACTCCCAGAATTCCCCAGCCAGCATTTGTGGACTTCAACTCCCAGAATTCCCTAGCTTCTAGCTCCTAGAATTCCCTAGCCAGCTTGTGCAAACCTCCCAATTCCCAGAATTCCCCAGTCAGCATCTATGGATTTCAACTCCCAGAATTCCTTGGCTTCTGTCGACTTCAACTGCCAGAATTCCCGAGTTTATATAGTTTTTAGCTCCTAGCATTCCCTAGCCAGCTTGTGGAGACTCCCAACTCCCAGAATTCTGCATCAGCATTTACGGACTTCAACTCCCAGAATTCCTTGGCGTCTGTTGACTTCAGTTCCCAGAATTCCCCAGTTTGTACAGATTTTAGCTCCTAGTATTCCCTGTGCCAGCTTTTGGAGACTCCCCAACTCCCAGAATTCCCCAGCCACCATAGCTGGATCAACTCCCAGAATTCCCCAACTAGCCTATGTGAACTTTCAACTCCCATGCTGGCTGGGGAATTCTGGGAACTGGAAAAGCCTGCATTTAAGGTGGTCGAAGCTGGGATCTCAAAAGCCTCAATACAGATATTTTGTGTTCCCCCTTCACCCATGCAGATGTTAGCAGCTGTTCTCAAGAGAGCCTCATCTGGCTGGAATGGGGTGACATACTAAGCCAAAACCAAACCACGTTTGCCAGGGCATCCTGGTTTGCAAAGCCAACTGACCCAGTTTGAGCCTTGGCGGGGAGAATATATATATATTCCAATTAAATGTGCGTGTGTGTGTGTGTAATATATATATATCATATATATATATATTTCATATACATACATAACATACATTTATTTTTGGACTTTTCGACACAAGGACAAAGAGAAGCGGGGCCTTTTGTTGCAACCCAAACGTCCAGTATAACATCGAAACCCAACACCTTTTGGAACCCTCAAACAGACTTGCTCTTCTCTTCGCTCTCACCCACAGAAGACCCACCCTACCCACTGGGCGGGGTGGAGACACCTCCACTGCATTCGCTGAGTTCAATACACAGCCCATCGGGACAAAAACCGCGTCCCCTCCCACGCCGCCGGCGGGTCCTTTTCCCCGCACGGGGGGGGGGGCAGACCCTTTCACTCGAGAACCGGAATTGTAACCTCCCACGCCCCGACCGCCTCTTGGGAGCGCAAGCGACCTCGCGGAAGACGGCTGCGTGAAGCGTAAGAGGGCGGAGCCAGCGGGGAGGAGGCGGGGCGTGGCCACACACAGTCGGCGCCGTCGCCATTTTGTCCGCCTCAGCGGGCGGGAAGATGAGGCGGGGGAGCGCGCTCCGTCGCGTGAGGGAAAGCCAGGCCCGTTGACGGCCCCCCCCCCCGCGAGGGGTCCCGAAGGCCTCTGAGGCGGGATGGAGCCCACCGGGCCTCGGGGCCCGGCTGGAGTCG